GTGGCAGGGGGGTTGCAACTAGATTATCTTTGAGGTCCCTTCCAACGCAAATCATCCTGTGATACTATCTGCAGAACAAAATACTGTTTGTGATCAATGAGGGGACTGAAATGATTGCAGGGCTTTCTATCCGAGCTTGAGTAGGAAGGTTCAAACCAACTTGGTTAACTTTATTTTGCTTTCAGTCAAATGAATATTTTTCTTCACAGGTATCTATAATTTTCAGGTGTTGATAGCTATTGGTTTTGTTCCTAGATCATTTTGAAAGAGAGAGAAGAGAAGAAGGGCCGTTTATCAGCTGACCATAGCCTTTTGGGATCTGATGAACAGAAAGAGGTGCATATAAACTTGGGTACTGATCAGTCTCAGGAGCTGGCCTCTCAAGAAGGTTGGTCTATATCTCTCTGGTTCCCATTCTCTCCCACCAAGTTGTACTAGTCTGCTTATCTTAATATTTTGGGGGTTCTTTTATGCAACTCCATGTATTGATGTTATCTTTTAACTTGTTTTTAACATGAGGAAATACTAGAAATTGGAACACTCTTCTAAAATGTCTGTCCCTCAGTTGTAGAAGGCTCAGGAAGCAAGGTCCTAAGTCCATGGTCTCCATACAGTAATGCCTTTCTCTTGAGTGGGTGTTCCCAACATGTCAGAGTTGATAGCATTTTGATAAGCAGACAAAGCGTGACCTGCTGTCGACCATGCCATGTTGTTCACTGTGCTTTTTAATGGTGAGCATACTGAAAGCTTGCCAGATGTGGAAGTTGCAAATTGTAAATAAGGTATTTCAGTTTGTCAAACACTCTTGTCAATCAACTGCAATGTCTGGACCATCCATTTACAGCAACAGCTTTAAGCAACTGGGAAGCTCCAAAGAATGTTCAATGTCTTTGACATGTTTGGGATGAGGAAAGAAGGGAAGGTGTGTCTATCAAGATTCCAGATGTACTGCTGCAGGATTTTTCTTCTGAAATTTTTCACCTGACTGAAGTGTGAACACCTTAACTGACCCATTCCTAAAATATTTAAGTTTTGCCTATATAAATAGTAAAGAATTATTGAAAAAAGTTGTGGCATTTAGGTGGGATTTTCCTTCTGTTCTGCTATTCCCCAAACTAAATTTTGAATAGTTTTTTAATGAATATTCAGATATTGCTTATTTACCCAGCCCATTCTCAGTGTTGGCCATGTGCTTTTTGTTTTTTCTCGCCTCTCAGTTACACCTACAGGGAAGAATACCGTTTAGTGTTTTCAGAGTGTAATAAAAGCACGGGAGTGATACATAAGTGTGATGCTCTTTCTTTTATGAGAAAATGTCTTCCTGTATTTTATAATGTTTCAAAATTGTCTTTCAGAAACTGGACTAAGTATGCCTAGTGATACTTCACTTTCGCCAGCAAGTCAGAATTCTCCATACTGCATGACCCCAGTGTCACAAGGTTCACCCGCTAGTTCTGGAATAGGCAGTCCGATGGCGTCTTCTGCAATAACCAAAATTCACAGCAAGAGATTCAGAGAGTAAGAGTTGTGCGTTGTTAATATGAATTTGAGGCTTGAACTTCAGTCACCCTTATCTTTTAAGTGTGGATAGGTTTAAGTAGACTGAGGAGGAACTTAACGAATATAAGCTACTCTTTCATCAATAGAAGTTTCTGCAACTAGTTTTTTGGTTGTTTACTTGGTTTACTGTTTTGTTTTTGTGGTGTGGTTTTTTTCTGTAGATGGATTGCTATGTGTTTATGTTTATATGTGTACACAGAAGGACTCTGGACTTTCATTGGTTGCTGCAACAAATAAGCTAGGTGGAAATACTGTCTAAATCCTTTCTTTTTAAAGGAGTGCTACATACACTTTGTATGGGAAAGGAAGGAGTACTTATGAATATTGAAAATACTGTAATAGTCACTCATAATACATTACTGCTTTCTAATTAAAGTATCTTTATAGAGTACCAAATTAAGGAATAGCTGCTTATGGCACCTATTGGAGTATTACATTGTATTTTTTAATGTTCTTTTTTGACTGATTTCTTGAGGTAAAGTATGTTACTAGACATATAAATGTTTTCAGGATATATTTTTAACTTACAGTATATGGTTTGATTTCTAAGTCCTTTTAATAACTTTAATAATGGTTTAACTATTCTGAAGAAGTAAAATTATTTTTATTTGGTAAAATAAAAGGCTTGGTGAAATAGTAATGATTATATGCTGTGCTAATATTTGTTGTTTTTTGAATTGACAGATATTGTAACCAAGTTCTAAGTAAAGAAATAGATGAGTGCGTGACTCTCTTATTGCAAGAGCTTGTCAGCTTCCAGGAACGGATTTATCAAAAGGATCCCATGAGAGCTAAAGCAAGGAGAAGACTTGTTATGGGACTGCGTGAGGTTACTAAGCATATGAAACTGAACAAGATCAAGTGTGTAATCATATCTCCCAACTGTGAAAAAATCCAGTCAAAAGGTATAAATGATAAATTAAGTGGTGCACTTAACTATTTACGGTTTCTTGTGCTGATTAGAAATGCTGAGTAGTAGCAAGGTTAGAAGTGCTTCTTGGTTACTGTGCATGATGTAACACTTCCAGAATCACTTGTGTAATTGCCATTCCACATCAACTCTCTTCTCTTCCATTCTGGAAGAAGCTCATTCATGAGGGGAGAAAAGCTTAAAGAAAAATAGATATGATGACACAAACAATAGATGTCAGTTTTGTTCCATTCAGTCTTTGATACACCCTGAGCCCTGGGTGCTCTTAAGGCAGATTCCTTAAGAGGAGTGTGAATTGGCTAATTAGCCAGCTGACATGTTTTGCCACAACCAGAAACGTAAACAGAGTCTTCTTAAGATATGAGAAGAGGAAGGCTCTGCTCCAGAAGAGCTGTGAAAAAATCTGGTTTGTGTGTGGAACTAATGGAGAATGCACGATATTGCTTTCATCTGATACTTGCTATACTCAGAATGTGTAGCTTGTTACCTTGTAGGATGATGTAGCTGATGGTGTGTATTGAAGTTTTACTGACTAATTACAGTTAAAGTGGGACAGAGATGTATTGTGTCGTAGTATGACTTCAACTAACTGGATATCTGTTTAAAATTTTCTTCAAGGTGGACTAGATGAAGCTCTGTATAATGTAATAGCCATGGCACGGGAACAAGAAATTCCTTTTGTCTTTGCTCTTGGCCGTAAAGCTCTGGGCCGTTGTGTGAACAAGCTGGTTCCTGTTAGTGTAGTGGGCATCTTCAACTACTCGGGTGCTGAGGTGAGTAATTCCAATCACGTAAATGACTGGAGTAAAAAATTACGTTCCTTGTAGTTAAGAATTGATTTGGCATGGAGAGCACACCAGACTAATACGATTTGATAATGATGCTGACCTGATCTGATCTATTTTAGGGTGGTGTTCTTTGAAATTCAGTGTTTACAAAACAGAGAGATTATGTTGAAACACTTTGGGTGCCACAACTCTGTAGCTTTCAAGTAAACTAAAATGCCATCTGAAACTCTCTGGAAGGCTTAAGACTGTAAGAAAAACACTATCTTAAAGTATTAAAAACACTGTCTTAAAGTGTATCTCCTGAAAGCCATGTAAACATGGAGTGAGATTTTTATTTAATACAAAGAACATCTATTTCTTATGTGAAATAAAGGTATTTGGTGTTAATAAGCTTAAGGCTCACTATATGTATACTTTTGACTAAGAGAGTAATTTAAAATGAAAATTATTAGTGAGAACTACTGATTATAAAAACTGCCTTCATACTTAGGACCTATTTAATAAGCTGGTGTCACTGACTGAAGAGGCCAGAAAAGCCTACAGAGATATGGTTGCTGCAATGGAACAGGAACAAGCAGAAGAAGCCTTGAAGAATGTCAAGAAGGCACCCCATCATATGGGTCATTCTCGGAACCCCTCTGCAGCGAGTGCTATCTCGTTCTGTAGTGTTATTTCTGAACCCATATCTGAAGTGAATGAGAAGGAATATGGTAAGTGCATTAAATGTTACTTTTGTAACTAGAAGTTGGAATTTTCCAACTGCTGCGTATTGCAAAACATAGCTAAAACCACAGCATTTCTTCATAATTTACTGTTCTAATCTTTTCAGGGATAAGAGAAAATTGGTTAGTCTTGAGGTAGTTTTGTAAGTTTTTTTTTCCCTGAACTACACTGAAAATAAGAATTTTAATTTCTAACTCTCAGAAGTGTTACCTAATTCACATCAGTGGAGGTGGCTTCTCCAGTTTTATTGAACTGGCATAGAACTGGTACAAAAATAGGATTGGTTCTGTGACTGAAGAAGAGCTAGTGACAGAGGGCAAGAACTAAATTACTGAGGTCTCTGAAGATAGGACCTGTAGCTTAAATTCTGAAACTTGAAATGGTAACGAATAGTTCTAGGATGAGCAAAAGGCAGATTTATTTATCTGCTTGCTTAAGCCCAGATGACAGAGGATAAAAGGGAGAATGCTCGTTTGAAGTCAGAAGACTTCTCTTCTTAAGTCTTCTGGTGAATTAAAAAGCATACTGTCTTGGTTTTAGTTAATTCTTTTGTGGTGTCTCAAATGTACTTAATTTGTTAAATGTTTTTCAAAAAATCCTGAAACAGATTATTTAATTCTGCAGCAATTCTCTGCTTTTAATTATACTTGAGAGTAATGTCTGACTACACTCACTGTTATATTTGCTGGTTCCACAGTTTATGCAGGAAACTTAAGTGCACAGGCTTTCAACTTTGTAATGTCTGGTTTAGGATACCGTAAAAGCCCAAAGTTATCCTTAACTCTTTCTGTTGTCTCTTCCCTCCTTTCCCCTTTTTCTAGTTGATATTTTTTTTCTAGCAAGTGTAGTCTAATGCTAAAATTATTAACTCCAATTACTATTTAAACAATTCTGGGCTCTTCAGGAGAAATACTTTTATGTAGAAAGAATTAATGTTTCCTACTTAAACTTCTTTTGAAACTTTTAGAAACAAACTGGAGAAATATGGTGGAAACATCTGATGGGCTAGAAACATCTGAAAATGAGAGAGAATCCTCATATAAGACTGTGGGACCAGAAAAAGCTGGTAATGGTCAAATTGAAAAAGCCACTCTTCATAAACAACCACTTCTGGCTACAACTGGCACTACCTCAGCAACAAATCATGGAAAATCCACACCAGGTGACAAAGATGAGGCAAAACCAGATGACAATCTGGAATGGGCCTCACAGCAGAGTACAGAAACAGGATCACTGGATGGCAGCTGCCGAGACCTTTTGAATTCCTCCATGACCAGTACCACCAGCACTCTTGTACCAGGAATGCTAGAAGAGGAAGAGGAGGAGGAGGAGGAGGAGGATGAAGATTATGCCCACGAACCAATTTCTGTAGAGGTTCAGCTTAATAGCAGAATTGAATCTTGGGTTTCAGAGACCCAGAGAACTATGGAGACTCTTCAGCTTGGGAAGACCCTTAGTGGTGCCGAAGAAGACAATGCAGAGCAAAGCGAAGAGGAAGAAATAGAGACTTCTGAGCAGGCTGATCCAGCCACTGATGGAGAGGAATGGACAAACGATAAGCATACAATTAACACTCAACACAAACCCACCATCTGCAGTTCTTTGAATAAAGAACACGCGGATTCCATCTACATGCCGTAAAAATAAGCAGGAACTCAGGAACTTTTTAGAAGTTAAATTAAAACTAACTGTTGTAAAGGTTGCAGCCATTATTTCTTATGCTTCATCTCAACATTTTGCACTGTTAAAGCATTTACTACGTGCATTTAATTCACAATAATATTTTTGTAGCTGTCTGTTACTTGTTTGATTTAAAAACTAGCTTAGCTTTTAACCAGTGTCTATTTCCCAGAATAGAAACTGTGTGGAAAATTTGTCAGTAAGTATTCATTTAATCTTTTGTAAAATGAAACATTCTGTAACTGACCACTTTTAATCAGAAGTATTTTGAGACGTGACATTAACTCATTTCCAAACAGAATCTACATTAAGACTGACAAATTGCCAACACTTCACATTTTTGTTAATGCCAGGAACATCAGTGTATTTCTTTGTGATTTTCTAGTTATATCTAGAAATAAAAGTAAAATTTTGTTTCTCTTTAAAGAAAAGCTAGAAAACCCCATTTGCAGTCTTAATGAGAAGTAAACAGTAGAGAAATCTATGGGTGAATCCTGTGTGAAGACAGATGCAGCTTTTCAGTTGCTCTCTGTGAATGCATCATTAAAAAGCTGCTGTAGTTGAGATGGTTACAATAAGCTATAACAACTTTGATTCCAGAAAAACTTTAAACCAGAGGGATATAATTAATATTTTGGAGCACTGTTGTTTTTCACAAGGTGAAAATACAAGCATTACAAAAAAATAAATAAAGGAAAATTCCCCATACTCTACACAGTTGCTGTATGCCAAACCACTAAGTGAATCGTTAACCATAATTCCTATCCAGGGCTTTTAGTGAACTGCTGACTTCCTCTTTCTCCCGTCACTTACCTCAGGAAAGCTGTTTTGTGTATTGTAATCTACATAACATTGCAGAAAGCAAAAATAATCCTTTAACAGCAAGTGTGAATGATACGGTGGCCCAGTGTATGTACACGTTCACCTGCATGCGTTGGTCCTGGCCACCCTCGTGTTGGGTTCAGGACCTATCTTAACAATTAACGTGAAATGTGACCTAGAAGTGTCTGTCCTTGCAGTTGTAGCAGTTGTAGCAGCTTTAGGAGTTGACCTCTAGAGTAGAAAAGGAAGTAGTTATTCCAGGAAAGGAGGAAGTGCCCTGTAGTGTAGGGGAGTATGTCAGTGGTTCAGAGGTAAAAGAAACAAAAATATTGCCTCCCTGAAACATAACATGTTGCTAGAAGATTGTTCCATGTTTCATTCTGAGTATCGAAGCAAAATCCATTAACTGATGATGACTTCATTTCATGTGGAAGATGGAGTATGTGTCTAAGCCTTGTGTGTCAGGAGTCTGTTTTCCATCTTTGTCTTATATTGGCAAGGGATGTACTGAAACTGCCAGCAGCAGGAGCTTCACTACAAGAGTAGCCAAAGAGTAACTTGTGTGCATAACACTTTTATAGAAAACATATGTTTCTTTAAGTCCACTTAATTATTTTTTTTCATCACTTGTATCAATAGGCATAAAAAGCCCTCTGGTTAGGCTGAAAACCACAAGCAACGGATATCTTCGTTAGGTATGTAGTCCACACCTATGAATATGGGACCAATGCTTATAGTACTAGTGATGCTGGCATTTTAAGTTGCACTGGGAAAATAAGACTCCACGTTTAGAAATCATCTCCCGCTGGGTTTTTTTGGGATGCTAATGAGACTTAGAGAAACTGTGTGTATTATGTAAATAACGCTTTGATAGGTATAGGCATAGCAAATGCTATGTAGATAAGCAGTATAGAGAGCTGCTGGGACAACTGGCTGTTCTGTCATATTCTTAGTTCCTTAATGTAATATTTCTAGATGTTAGAACAGACATTTTTATAGGAAAACAAAGACTAAGGAATGATGCCTCGTGAATGTTAAACCTTTTACCTTACGTATGGCAGATTTCTACTGTCTGTATGTTATGAAAGAGTGTTTGCTTTAGGAAATGATAGGTGTTTGAACTGCTGACAAGCAAAACTTGCCCTTGGATGTGTAAGCACGTGTCTCGACACTAGCTGAGAGCAGTGTGTGCACTGAGGGCAAACCTTTACCGGAACATCAGAAGACAAAGGTGTTGGTAACTTTCTCTTTTGCTTTTTCAGTGCCAGTGATTCAAATAACTTTTGATCTTTAAGTATTAACATCAAAGATGCATCTTTTTATATGTCTTTTCTGAACTTGGACTGTCATTTTGACGTTTTCTGACATTTATATCAAAGAAGTCTTGTAATATTCAGCCCGCTATTTAACTGCAGTTTTGCTACAGGTTTAATAGAGTTCTTGAAGGTGATATAGCACTTGTAATATCTCTCAGTTTGCCAGCAAATAAGGAACTAGTCTCTTGAAAATGTGGCAGATCACTCTTAGAGGAGCAAACAAACTGAGTAAAGGAAACTGGGTTTAGTGCTTCCTTTTTGATAAGCTGGGAATGAGCAATAACTGTGAGAATGAAATTGCAATTCCTTTGGGAGTGGTCTATTTGCATCTAAAATTCAGGAAGTTCCTTGCCACTTGAAGCACTTGAGGGGAGTATCTCACTGTGGTAATTTTGATTCTGTTATCACCGGAATTTAAAAAGAAAGCATACAAATGTTTTACAATACCACGAATTTTTTTTAGCGGAATTTCTATTTCAGTGTAAAAGTATGCAGTTTATTATACAGGTTGTTACTGTCCCCAAGAAAAGTTGTTTCTGTAGTTGTAGGTGTATAGATATTTTTGTTGTGAAAATGGTTATTTGGAAAACAGATCTACTTTTCTTAAGGCATTCTTTATAGAAGTGGTTTCACCACTTAATTTATCTGATAAAATCAAAAATAATGTGTCTGTGGTAGGGGTAGGGATCTTTAAAACTGACAGAGATGACTATGTATACAACCTATTTATATAAATAAGTATCTCTGTCAAAATAATAATAAAACATGGATTACAAATGCGTGAAAGGGAAAAACTCTGAAGAGCTTTTGTCCTCAGTTGGACTGAGTAAGGTTAAGGATGTGATCCTGCTGACACACGCTTAGGAGCATTAGTTCCACTGGCTTACATCAGTGGCCTGTTTATCTGCTTAAGTTGTGTGCAGGTAGTTGTAGGAGCTAAACAGTGACGGACGGTATTGACCTGTGTTTTAAAAATTCAATATAGAAAATGTTCAGTAATGCACTTGTTGGTGTTCTGGTCAAGAGGTGTCTTTATGCTCATTTGGGTGGGTGGGAGCTTACACAGTGTGATTCTGTCCAGTTCTTTAACACAAGATTAAATTTTAATAATGTTACTTTAAATATGTAAAAACAGAAAAAGTATTATTGTTTGAAAAGCTGCTGTTTGCTGAAACTGTCAAGTATTTCCTGTGAAGTTGTGCCAACTAATGAGACTATTGAGTTGATTTCAGTGTTAGCCATTTGACAATTAGACATGACAATTTGTTAACAAAACAAAAACCAGCAGAAGCAAGCCATAGAAACAAGTAACGTGGGTTTTCTACCCACCCTGCCACACACAAGGAAACATGAGAATGTCTGACCCAACGCTTCCTTGCCAAGGAACGGTAACGCTGGAAGTACAGAAGCCCAGTTGGCACAGCCCACCCTCTAAATGTTCATGAATAGTTCGTATGTTTTACTTTTAAATAGATTCTAATAAGGAAAGCTGTTTAATGTCTTAAAATTTATAGTAATGTTTAGGTTAAAGCAGTAGAAAAATCGTTATGAACTACAATATGAAGGGGTTTGTTCCATTTCTTTTTTGCTGTATGAAGGATAATTGTTCTGTCTACCGTACTTTTTGGAGTAATAACAGCTTTTTTGCACTATGTAAATACTAGTGGGGGAATTCTTCCATAACTAATAAAAATGATTGTAGAAATTTATGGGTTTATTATGGTGATATGTTCATTCACAGCTACTTTTATTCTGAATTTGGTGGCCCTGGTACCACGGGAGAGGGGAAGGGTCCCTGTTAATCCTGTCCTTGGCCACAGTGTGGAGAAGCCACGTGGTGGCCCCTGGGCCCCGGTGTGGGGAGCTGTGCCCCTCCAGTCACCTGGACAGACTAAATGGGCACGGGCAGAGAGACTTTTTCACGTTATTGAGTCCAGGTCCCTGTTGTCACACAGCATCTTGCTTATCGCCACAAAAACACTGTATAGAAAAACCTAGCAGTCTTCAGAGACTGGGGGACTGAACTAGGTCCAGAATATTGAGTTGGAAATAACATTTTATTTAAGAGCAAATGACTAAGAATAACCACAGGCCCCTCCAAAACAACCTAGGATTTCTTACATGCTGCTAATATATAAGAATTTAAGCTGACCTACCTTTATTGTTACACTGGTGCATAAAGTCACCTTTGGAAAATAACACAAAGTTCTCTGCATGTTGTCCCCTATTCTCCAGTGACTCACTGGTAACTGCTTGCGCTTCCGTGGCTCTACTAACAGTGTCATTAGCTGGTTTTGCAACTCCCACGTGTGAGAATATTTGTAGCAATTCAAAAAGGATCCAGCTTCATCCTGTAATTTTGAATTTTCTATTTATGTGCCTTAACCTCATGTTTCAATTCTGCTGTTGTAGTTGTCTGTTGAAACTGCTCTTGTTACAAACCTTACTTTGTAGGTGCTATCACTTGCTGTCAAAATATTCCTCTCATCTGAGTTTTGCCTGTGTCTTTTCAACCTGGTAAGAGTTTTGGAAAGTACAAAAAAGTAGGTGGCACCATGTGACTTGTGCTATGGAAATGACAAGCAGATTAATTACCCCAAAGCCTTGCAAACTGAATTTTCTTCTCCCTCTCCATTTCTTTGCCATTTAAAAAACACTAACCATTTTGTAGCGCCCATGTGGAAAAATCCTGCCATTTATTGAGGATTTTTTCAATAGTGCTTTGCATTGCTGCAGACACAGATGAATCACCACAAGAAACAAAAGTGTGCTTCTGCCATCGCTGCAGTGAAGTTCCTACAAGCAGCAGTAGCACTGCCTGTGCTCGAGAGCAACCTGTGCTCTCAGATAACAG